TTTTAAGAGTTTGAGCTCAATTAACCTCTAGATTAAACATGAACCGACTCAGTTTAACCGATTCTGATCGATTCAAGATGATTTTAAATTGATTTAGATCGGTTCAAGCTTCTTTAACTTAAATTACACTTAAGTCTAAGCTAGACTAGTTAAGAATGATTCCAAACTAGTTTTTCTATTAGGTTTTAGGTAAATTATGCTTGATTTGAGTCAATTAAACCGATTCAACTAGGATCCAAGCCAATTGAGGACTAACTAGGATATAATTCATTATATTGATGTTGCTTGATGACTTTAGATGAATTGATATATGTGATCATCAATTTTGAAAATCACATCAGATATATAATTGATATAATAAAAGGACCTATATAATCCCTATTAATTATAGAAGAGTCCAAGATCAAAGATGTGGTAGTTAGACTATTTCTCCATTTGTTATTGAGATTATCGTAAAATAAATTATATCTCGAGTACACAGTGACATATTTTCACATAATCATAACTTAAAGCATATATAAAGTTAATAATAACTTTAATTAAAATAATTTTTAAATATTCATAAATATCCATATTTAATAAAAACAAATAAATTAAACTCTAATGATTAAGCTGAAAATGTATAAAGTTGAAGTGCCTTGATGTAACTCTGGTGATAGACAATGCTCCTCTAGTGTTTGAAATAGAATCAAGTTATTGTTATAAAAAAAATAAACAACAAGTAATCAATAAAAGCTAAGTCGGAATCTTTTTATACGTTTGCTCAAAACATATGGAAAATTAGCCATAGTGAATGTAGAATAAATAAATCAAAATAAAACCATAGATTATATGGTCAAGATTCTTAAAAATCAATTTTGGAAGTATAAACTAGAATAACACATGGCATATGTCAAATGCGGATATACTCCTAATAGTATATCCAACAGCGGTCGGTAAAGTTAAAGTAAATCCATATCATACTCCTAATCACAAATAGAGTGATCGGTAAAGATGAAGTAAATCCATCACAAATAGAATAGTGATCCTTGTTCTAGTTTATGCTATCAAAATTGGTTTTCGAAAATTATGATCGTATGATCTATAATTTATTTTGATTTATTTATTTTATATCTGTTATGCTATTTTTTTTGAGAGAACATATGAGGTTCCTACTCAACTTTTGATGATCGCCTATTGTTCATGTTTTTCAAAATAGTTATCTAATTCTATGTTATTATTCATATATGTATTCACCAAGAACATATTAAAAACCCTTGTGAAGAGCTACAGAAATGATAGTTATTTCCTAAAAAAAAAGAAAAAAAATCATGTTATTCTTCATATATGTATTCACCAAGAGCATATTAAAAATCTTTGTGAAGAGTTACAGAAATGAGAAGGCTCACTTCCTACAAATCTTCACAACCTAAAAAGATTCATCAAAAAACCTTCTTACACTCTACCACGACCCATCAGATAGATAAAATCATGATGGCATTCTTAAATCAAGAACTTTCAAATGCCTGTGGTTCAAAGATCGAGTCACTCACGATCTGATTAAATTATTGAAGCAGTTCCTGTGGATTAGTTGAAGTTTGATTTTGGTACTTGTAGTATTTATTATATGCTTCTCCCACTTCACTTTGCCCCTTGGCCAACAGACAAATGCCACTGCTGGACTACCACAATGGGTTTGTGTGGAGCATTTGTATCAACCAATGGACATGTTTTGATCAGTCGGACTAACATCAATCTGTTCAAACACCACCTTAATTGTTATGCATTATCATCAAACTATAAGTAATCCTCAATCAAGTGAACTCGAGATCCATGGAAATTAATGAATGAAGCACAAGTGAGATAGATAAATAACTGATATCTCCAACTTGAAATGGGAGACAGCATGAGTCAAACCTTTTGAATAAAGGATTTGGGAATGACAATAAAGTAGCTCGACATTGTTTCACTCATCTCTTCAACAAAAAGGTTAGCAAACATGTCACTCCTTCTCAGGAGAGCTAGAAAGTGTGTCTCCTTCATGTCTCAATCTCCTTCGTGCTCCACATTTGGACCTTACCTACTTTTGTCTTTCTTAATCTTCTCATATATCTGAGGATGGCAGCAGGGTTGGCTGATTGATTGCCTGATGGAAGTCAGGTTTTTGGTACTCCATATTTTAAACGGATTCAGATCGGGTATTGGGTTAGATACAGATACAGATCCTTGGATTCATACAATGAATTTTGGATTTTGGATTTAGGTTGTCAGGTTCTGTCACCATCCTTATCTTTGGCACTATAGAGTCGAGCTATTGTCTTAGCAGCATCATCTGTCGTTTCATGTTGAAAAGTGACTGCGAGAAGCACCTCTCTCAGGGTTTGATGCATCAACAGATCATGTGTTGTTCTTCAGGCTAAGGAAGTACATGGTTTCCTAAATACCCAGAGCAAGTACTTGAACCTCAAAGTCCTTTCCTGAAAAGTTTGGGTTTTGAGTTGGGAGCTGACATTAATTCTCAACGAGCATGTTCGATGGAAGAAGCATGAAACTGCAAAAATAATTTGCAAGAATATGATCAGGAGCACATAGTAGAAGTAGAAAAGCTCTCCTAATTTGATGTGTATGGGAAACAAAGAACTTTATATTTTCATATGAGAAGAACACACTTGCTTTGGAGAGGAGGTGCATTTTCTGCTCTATCAGTCGTCATCTTTCTTTTTTCTGTGGTCGCTTGCTTGCCATTGTTGGCCTTTCACCGGCAGAGAAGTGCAGGTAGTGTCCCTCTCAGGAGGAAGACACCTGATACCGGTACAGTGCACCAAAATCACTGGTCACATGCATGCTTGAGGTCAATATGTTGGATGCTGCCAAATGGTTATAAAAGCTGCTTCAGGAGGAGCTTCAAAAAGAGGTGGTTGATGATTCGATTGCCCTTGCAGACCTTTGAGCTCTTCTGCAAAAGTGATGGTGGGCATGATAGGTTATGATACTGATTATACCAAGATAGAACACCCAAGGTTTAGTCTCTGGTCATGTGCCAATGTTGTATTGTGTCAGCATCTTTAAAATCTTGATTACAGTTTTTGTTCGGATGGACACGGCTCACATGACTAATGTGAATGTCCGAGTTTATTCTCGATCCTATGGCTTTTGGAAGTCCTTTAGCGATCGGTAGAAAACTACTTCAGGAAGAAGGTCCCAAAATATTTGCTACTTTTGTGTGGGCAATTACAAAGATATTTGCTACTTCTCCTATCTTACATGAGAGAGGAGAGATCCCAATGTTCTTGAAGGTGGACATCATGTTCCACCACTAAGAACTCCTCCTTATGTGCTTTCTGTCATTCTTGCACAATATTGATGGAAAAGAACCAAGCTTCTAGTGGTGGGATCTGTCTTCATGATTTAAAGATAGATTTGTTCTATATATTGATCTAGTTCTTTAACTTAATTTAGAAGCTTAAGGACTCAACAATAATGCAGTTCTTCCACTCAGCTTCTTTTTAATCATTTTGTGATAAGATGCTTCGACATGCTGCCCTCATTAACACTCTTCCTGTCTATCTCCCAGGGCACCACTTGCTACAAAAATCATGGGCATTAGCACTTGTACAATTAAGTGACTTACTTTTGCAAATCTGTCAGATCTCATTTAAATTTCTCTAGAACTTTTTTTTTTTTTGCATTTTGACCTTTCAAAATGTGGATCTCTAAATTAGCTCCTTATATATTATACTTACTATTATTGTTGCCAAACCATAAGATTTTAACCTTTTATTGGAAAAACTATTTCATGACAAGGGGAACATATTCTAGTGAAAAAATAGGGAGAAGTGAAAGAAACTCCATATGATTGTTTCTAGTAGGTACAATGTTGCAAGAAACATTTCATCAGCTCATCATCCTCATGGAAACAACTGAATGATCAGTTGATCACTGGTTGGTCATGTCATGTTTTCAGAAATTAAATACAGAGTGATCCATGATTTGTCATAGATTCCCATATTCTGTGACAGAATAAATCTTTTTTTATTCATGTACAAGATTGCTGCAAAAGATACTGCTGCAAGTTACAACCCACCACTGAAATGCTTCTATGCTTTGTTTTATGGTCCTTTTACTGTGATTGTCCTGAAAGACAAAGTCCCTTTGGGGCATTTCAACTTCAGATTCATCCTTGCAGTCCCACCTAACATGGCCCTTCGTGGCTGCCAACACCTTTTGGGTTTATTCTTTTGAATGAGCCTGTGGCCTGGACTCTGCTATTTGTATTTTATGGTATTTTTTAGTGGTATACATACATGTCTACTCTCTCTCTCTCTCTCACCACCACTCTTCTTCTCTAGGTTTTGAGATCATCTATCCACCAGAATAGCTTACTTGGATTTCAACGTGACAGTGAAAGAGCAGCTAAATGGCCATTGGATGACTTGGTCAACACATGAGTCAGCATCCACAGCAGAGAGAGCATCCAAAATAGTTGGCTTAGGCCTGCTTTAGACTGCCATGACTGCAGAAATTGTCAGAGTTACGCAGAGAGAAAGGGAGAGGGAGAGGGAGAGGGAGAGGGAGAGAGAGAATCCAAGTGTGAATTTGAATGCTTGGGGACCCCTACCTTCCTCGGTGTTGCAGTTGGACTAGCCTTTGCTCCAAATACCACAGCACGAGCCGACTGCCAGATGAGTACACTGTTCAGCCTCCCTCCAGCAATATTATAGCTTGTCTTCTTCTGACCCTCTGAATCCCCCCTCGCCAACAAGATCTGAGCTTTGGTTCCCCTCCCAATGCTCCCTTCAGCCCTCCCTTTTATTTCTTGTGAAGACCTTGTTCTTTGAAGAGAGTTAAATAAAGGATTCCCAACACATAAAACAAAGTCAAGACAGTGTGTCATCGTAATCCATTCAAAGCACCCCACCCAGTCTACTGTGCAACCATACATTATTTCAAACTTATGTTATATGAACACCACAGCATTTACAGATCAACCCCATGCATGCGTCAGATTACCTCTCTTGAGATTGACAAACTACTAAAAAGCTTTGGTAATGGTGACTATTGTTTCCATGGGGAGGCAATAAGCTGCTTCACCTGCTTTTGTTTCCCCCCCTGAGATGGAATTCAATCTTTAGGAAAATGTGTGCTTCTTTTTGAGCCTCGGTGTTGCTTCTTTTTGGGTTCTCCTTTGATGGGTTGCTCGTGATCTCGTTTACTTCGGGAAACGTGTGATCTTTGTGCCTTTGGAGCTGCACCTTTCGATGCCATTCTTTTGTGTTGAAACAAATCAATTTGCCTATCCTTTTTAGTTGCAAATCGTTGTTACTTCATAGTGGACAGGGAACTGTACTTTCCATTTAATCCTTGTAGGTTTGGCTTCTTCCTTCGTGATACATTTTTGATGAGACAACTGTTCAGATCTTTGCATCTGTTCTAATAAAAGGAGGTATGGGCGGAGGCAATATGGTCACAGGTTGATGTCTCCTCCTCACATGTTGTTGCTCCGAGACATTTGATCTCATCTTCACAGAAATGTGTCAAACTTCTGTACCCGAGATGAACATCCGACACCAGATACATGAACACCCAGCTACGCCCACTCTGTAAGTTGTTCCTTCTACCTTCCCTCTTCTCCTTTTCTGTTTCCTCTTCTTTTTGGTTTCTTCAACAAAAATTTCTAGTCCATGAGAACCCATGCCTGGAGTATGTCCTGAACTACTTTCCAATGTGAAATGGGGAAGAACTACTTTCCATGCAGCATGTACTGATTCCGCTTTGTTTTTTGTTTCAATCTGAATCATCTTTTGCTGGAAGTAGAACTCAGCACACTTGCAAGTATTATCAAGTTCTGTAGCCAACTACTGATGGATAAACCAATTCCAGCTGAGGCTCCTCATGACCTTCCTATCACTGATGTTTTCCCATATTCCACTGAACCAAATACAAAGATATTAACCATCAAAATAGCAGGACCTTCATCCGAGAATGGGGAGAAATCTGTCCCCATCTCACCTTCCATATCGATTTCTCCACACTTGAATTCACCTTCTCCACCATCCTCTGCATTTGTCTCAGCATTACAGTCACCGTACATATCTCCGAGAGCCTTAGAACCACCGAGCGAGAACAACACTGTACCGACGACCACAGTCCCATCACCAGTTTCATACTCTGGTTCACATTCTGATGACATCCCAAGCACTTCCTACACTCCTCCATCAGAAAGATACGACTTTGTGGCTGACCAAATCGACCAGAAGCCCAAGTTTTCCGATGCAGCACCGCCTCGTATCTCGTTCTCTTTCCCAGTCCCTCGTATCTCGTTTACAAAATGCTCGGACTCTCCTTCTTCCAATGCCAAGCTCCGTAGCTGTGATGTTTACATTGGATTCCATGGCCTTAACAATAATCTCAGTCGCTTCTGTAAATGGCTCAAGTCTGAGCTTGAGCTCCAGGGAATAGCCTCATTTGTCGCTGATAGGGAAAGGTATTCAGATACTCAGAGACATGAGATTGCTGATCGAGTCATATGCTCCGCGACCTTTGGTGTCATTGTGGTGACACCGTCAAGTTTTCTTAACCCTCTCAGTGTCGAGGAGATAAGGTTCTTTGCTCAGAAGAAAAATCTCATTCCACTATTGTTTGATACTGAGCACTCAGAGATCATGAGTCTCTTTGATGGGAGGTTGGAGGATAAGGAGTGTAGGGAAGCATTTGAAGGGTTGACCAGGTGCAATGAGTTCAAGCTCGAAACAAATGATAGCAACTGGAGAAGCTGCATCGTGAAGGCTGCTGGGATTCTAAAATCAAAACTTGGTAGGAAGAGCAGCACGGTGAAGGAAAACGGAGTTTCTGAAGAATTACCCTTTCCTCGAAACAGACATTTCGGCGGTAGAGAGAAGGAGCTGACAGAAATCGAGGCTGCTTTCTTTGGATGCTGTGAAGTTCATGAAATAGAGTATCCAAATCACACCCTGGTGAAAGCTGGCTCAAGTGATGGATTTGCTGATGAGGAGAGTGATACCGTAAGAACAAGTGGGAAGTACATTAGTCTAGAAATGAGGAAGTGCAAAGAACCTACTTTAGAAGCTTGGATAGAACCAGTGATGGAGCTAACAAGCAAAGGAAGAAGCCTTCAAAAGCAACGCTCAAAGCACAAAAAATCAAGGAGTGGAGCCAGCAAAGGCTATGGCAACGCGAATGTATTCTGTATCAATGGAACCTCAGGCATAGGGAAGACAGAGCTTGCCTTGGAATTTGCCTATCGATATGCTCAGAGATACAAGCTGGTTCTGTGGATTGGTGGTGAAGCAAGGTGCTTCAGGCAGAACATTTTGAATTTGTCGACGGACTTGGGTCTGGATGTCAGTGCAGAGGGAGAAAAGGAAAGAGGGAGGATAAGGAGCTTCGACGAACAAGAGTTTGATGCATTCCAAAGGGTAAAGAGGGAGCTCTTCCGAGATATCCCTTACTTGCTGGTCATCGACAATCTTGAAACAGAGAAGGAATGGTGGGAAGGGAAAGACCTGCATGATCTGATTCCGAGGAACACTGGAGCTACCCATGTGATCATCACGACGAGGCTATCCAAGGTTATGAGCTTCGAGCCAATGCAACTTCCACTGCTTTCCTTGGCCGATTCACTACTTATACTTAGAGGCAGAAGGAAGGAGTGCTCGGTTCAGGAGATCGAAGTGCTAAAAAAATTCGATGAGAGATTGGGGAGGTTGAGCTTTGGGTTGTCAGTAATAGGTTCCCTTCTTTCTGAGCTGGCTGTTTCACCATCCGAATTACTCGAAGCAATTGACAGGATCTCCCTTAACGACAATACTTTTTCTTTGGGTGGTAGTGAGGATGCTTTCTGCAGGAACAACACTTTCTTAATGAAAGTCCTCGTGTTTTGCTTTGCAGCACTGGATCGAGCTAAGGGAAGAAGCCTTGCATCGAGAATGGTCCTCACTGGTGCATGGTTTGCTTCTGCCCCAGTTTCTTCAACCATATTAGCAGCTGCTTCTAATAATTTACCCACAAAAGGAAGCTTCCATCAATGGGGGAAAGGTCTCACGATCGCTTTCTTATGTGGCTCGAATTGCTGCTTATCACCCCAAGCTCGAAAAAATGAAGTGGAGTCTGCTCTGCTGCTGGTAAAACTAGGCCTGGCAAAGGGAACACTGAGACAGCCGGGATGCTGGATCCAGTTCCACCCGATCACCCAAATGTTTGCCAAGATGAGAGGGGGGCTGCCACCGGCCAAGGCCATGGTCCATGGAGTCATGAAGGTTGGTAACGCTGCAACGAACTTAGACCATCTATGGGCTTCAGCATTCCTCATCTTCGGGTTCAAATCAGAACCCCCTCTCGTTCAGCTCAAACCAGGCGACATGGTCTTCTTCATAAAAAAGACCGCACTTCCATTAGCAATTCGGGCATTCATGACCTTCTCGAGGTGCAATTCAGCTTTGGAGCTCCTGAAGGTATGCACGAATGTGCTCGAGGAGGTGGAGAAATCATTTGTGTCACAGATACAGGACTGGCACCGAGGTTCCTTGTGCTGGAAAAATCGGCTCCATTCTAACCAGAAGGTGGATGAATATGTCTGGCAAGATGTGACTCTCCTCAAAGCCACATTGCTTGAGACTCGAGCTAAGTTGCTGCTGAGAGGAGGGCTTTTTGATAACGGGGAAGAATTATGCCGAACTTGTATTAGTATTAGGACTGTGATGCTTGGCCATAACCATCTTCAGACTTTGGCTGCTCAAGAAACGCTAGCCAAGTTGGTCAGGTATAGAAGTAAGATATGAAGCTAGCTATGGACATGTAAAATGTGTATCGTATCGCTTCGGCTTACTTGACCTCTACATTCACCTCATTCTCAGTTTTGTTCTCACATACTTTGTTAGTAATGTCTAGCTTAAGATCTGTGATGAATAACAAAACTCGATCAGTTCTATACAACCAGTGGTGCAGAGTTAAAATTATCGCACAAAGTATCGTATTCATGTGTTATATAGTTGATATGGGTTGCAAATCTAAAGCAGTAAAGCATAGACAGTGAGTGACCTTTCAAAGCTTGTTTTCTGGTTTTGATTGGAAGATACTCTATTTTGAGTACAAAAATAGTCCGACATTGCTTAGCTTTGTTCTTCTTTTCCGACTACATTTCGTTATCGATTATGAATCCACTTTTGAGAAACTTGAACATGTTCAGTCACAATGCTTTCTTGATAATTCTCACTTGAGCCATGCAAATGCAACTGCAGTATATTTGCTGACACATTAGGATTTAAATTGAGAATCTCCAGTTCATCATGTTTCCATGACTCATTAGCAACTCATAGTTTTTTGCCTCTGGCTTCCTTCTTTGCTAGACTGAGTGTCATGTAACCAGGGAATGAAGGTGGTGGTAGCAGGACAAAAGCAATGAAGTTGGAGCAAAGTACTGAGCAACATTCAAGATGCCAGATTTCAACATTGCTGACAACTGAACATGGGATTGCATCAGGATACCAATGAACATAAATGATCTTTCTGAGACCTTGCTGACACTCGAACAGCACTGAGCTGATCAAATCAGTGGCCTAAGTAGCAACAAGTGTCTGGGGTGAGCTTATTTTTAGGGTTTGGACTCTAGTGAACCTTGGGATGCTTTTGGAATTACCTGCATTTTGCCAGTTATCTTTCCTCACTTCCAATCCAGTGATCTATGTGCTTATTCTCTTCATACCCTTGGCAATTCAGAAAACAGTGTTGATTCCATATGCACCAGAAGATGCAGGTGCTTATTTTCTTTTTCTTAGTGAAATATCAGACTTCAATTTTCATTTCTCTTCAAAAAGGAAGATTTTTTTTTCTTTCTTTCTTTAAGGAATTAACTGCTGTTTTCTTCAGGCCAAGCTCATAAATTTGCACCAATATGTTTTTAGATATGAAACCAGGCTGTCTTCTCTTTGGGAAGATCTAAGGAGTTGTGGGTCAACAATCATGCTATAACCACATATCTTTTTTTTGTTTTCTCCTTTCCATGTGAACCAATGTGCAAAACTATGACTTGCAAGCATCCATAAACAATTAGTCAGACAAATCTAAGATCTAAGGCTGCCTCCTCCAACACAATGACCTTGCAGTTTGGCAACTCCAAAACACTAATGCCATTTAGAAGTCATACATGGCAACTCCAAGCACCTTTTATTCTCTGGTCCACATATTTGTTGTGTTCACAGAACCACTAGCTGCAGAAGAATTTACAAGGTACACATTGCTCACAAGAGAAACCTTTCACTGATCCTAAAAGATGCCTCTGCAATGTTCCTAATGCTCTCACAAGTGAGAAAGCATATTGGTTTTTCCTCTGCTGTCTTTATTCTCCCTGTTACTTCATTTTTCTTGGTACTTCAATAAATCTTGTTAAGAATGCTACATGCATTTATTTTCTGAACCCTGTCACTTGTGTGCTCCAGGAAGTAAATGATTCATGTGGAAGGACTGACTGATCATGTGAGAGGTTGATTTGATAGCTGCGGCTCTGAACTTGATAACATATGTTCTCATTAATCTCAGTAGAAAACATCAGCAGCAGAGGCAGAGAATATAATTAGGTCACTGATTTAGCGACAGTAGACCAGGCAGACTAGGTTGAAAATTTTGATGCAGTGTGAAAATGTGTGGAAAAAAAAATTAAATAAGAAATATTTATGGGATAATTTTCTTATATAAGTTTATATTTTTTTGATAATTTATCTAAAAATCTTAATAATAATATTTTACTGTATGATGTCCCCATATTTAGTTTTTACTAAATTTTTTAAATATCAGTGATATCTTTAAACTTATGTCGATCCTTTTTATTAAATTCAGATGGTCTGATTCAAATCTGATCAATCCAATATGAGAATCAATTCAAGTATAATCCATTGGAGTCGGATCTTATGAAGCTGATTAGGTTACGTTTGAGGTAAATAATAAAGAGGGTACATAAGAGTTACACCGAATCAGTATATCCTTAATATAAGTGATGATGACCAACGCTCCTCTCCTCCTCCCCAGTGGTGAACTTTGATAGCAACATTACCGAACGATGACAACCCTATCTCTTCTTCGATCGGGAATGATAATGTATCCGTTAGTGGCATCATATCATCTAGCATCGAGTCGATCATCTCTTTTTCGATGTATTGAATGTGGCATTGACTTTGTCGACAACATCATTGAGCAACGAATCTCTTTCATCGCCACTACAAATTTATGTTATTACTTTCATTGAGCATCAAGCCGTCGACATCATTGAGCAATCTCTTTCATTCGAAATTGAAATCAAAACCGATTAGACTCGGATCTGACCTGAGTCAAACCTAGGTTTGGGTTCGATTAGATCTATCGGGGTCCGGACCTTGGTTCGACCCGATCAGGATCTATTGGTTCGGGCTCGACGAAGAGTCGACCCGGTTCAGAGAAGCCGGCAATTAGTTCGACTCGGCCGAGTGAGGGGTCAATGCGGCCTTGCACTTGCGGCTCATGCGCGGCCCAGCGTTGCAGCCCAATTTGCACGTAACTACGAAAATAGATGCTATTATTCTTTGTCGTAATTAGCTCGTTATAACTTACTTATCCATCTCATATAAATTAATAAATTGAACAAAATAATTAGGTTTTTACTTCCGATTTTGTCCTTCATTGTGAATGGTAATCCTCTCTCTCTCACTAATTCTTTTTTTTTTTGAATTGACTCGAGGAGAAAAAAGAACTTTCACCAGAGGGCAACCTTTGCCCCCACGGTGTAAATGCCTGTGTCTGTCATCCTACGTGGAAGAAGTGTGTTGGACCACGAGCCCGGGCCCCACAGAATTAAGTTGGTGCCTGCAAGGTTCCACCCACTCGGCGCCCCACCACACTCCAAACTCCTCCGTCAGCCCGTCACAGCGTCACAAGGACCACTCAACCTTACCCCGCTTGTGGGGCCCCGTCTCCAAGTGGTCCTCCCCCCTCTAAATGCGTGCCAAGATCAGGTGCATGAAGCATCACGTTGCACTGGTAATGATATTGCAAGAACACATAAGATGATGAGTTCATGGAATTGCTGCCCTTTTTCCCTTCTCTACCTCATCACAAGAAGAGAAATAGGGAACGCATGCAAACACAAGGTCTAAGGAGACCTTGTGACGAACATTACACTCCAAACCACTCATCATTTGGTGCGACAATGTCGATGCAATTCTAACAGTTTTTGCGTGGATGTGCAATCGATTTATGTTCATGTACATTCCAATAACAAAACTAGATCTCGTGATGTCCATTTGGTAAGCTCAAAAAGTAGTCAACGGGAGACGTCAAATGATGAACTAATACAACGTTCTTAGATTTAGTCTGTATCTACTGATGTCAATAACAACGTTAATTGAGCAGCTAAGCAATATAACATTTATGACAGGAAGTTGGAGGATAAAAAACACGCGATAGTTGGAGTATTATTGCCAGTTAAAAGATATAGTTAGATGCATGGATCATGCAAATATACATATTTCTTGATCAAAGCTAAAGGTTACGACTTCCCGGAATACAAAAGCTTTTATGTTGGCTGATGATGCCTTCAGAGTCTCAAACTAAATACATACCTAGCAAAAACTCGACAGTCAGATCTTTGCCAGCATCGTCCTGTATTGTCAACCAGATACATCCCCACCGCTAAAGAACCATATCGAAAGATGAAGTTGCTCAATTGTTTCTGGGTGTATTTGGTAGCTATCTGTGAACATGTTTGGTTTCAGGAATGTGAGCTGGCGATGAATGTAGCTGCTACCTGAACCTTGATGTTAAGCTGTTATACAGGCATTTTTACACGATCAGGATCATCGCAGGAGCGGAGGATAATACATTGTTGGGGCCATTTGACCTGATGTAGGTGACTGGAAAATAGAAGGGCCAAGTAGAAGGTGCCCCTGACCTTCTGAATTGATTCTTTGATTCAAGAGACTGGCATCATCCTTTTGGTGCAAACAATTAGGGAACAAGGACCCTGGTCCTCCTGAGATATTCCTAGTTTGGCTTTCTGATGAAAAGTAAGAGAAAGATCTCTGAAGCGAAGGACTTGGACCAGATGCAAGCAGTAAAGAGTTTGCTGTACCCGCAACCAAGCCTTTGAGTTCATTCTCCTGTCCGAAGTGAGGGTCATCAGTGACAATACTTGCATCCATTAAAGCTTGAGAGAAGTTTGGCCTTTCGGTAGGTTTCGCCTGCCAAGTCTGTTGGTCTGTTTTTGTTGTCCAACTATAAAATGGGGACCTTGCAATACCGCCCATTTCCACAATAGACAAATGTGGAAGCATTTGGTGATCACCAGTTGATAGAGCTTGGCCAATGGCTGGAGACCCGAACCATAGCTGATCATAGTGCTGTGCAGAACCCTCTTTCTTCAAGAGGTTGTTGGTCGAAGAAAATCCAGGAGACACAGAATTCATATTCGGTGTAAAGTCTAAAGCAGTAATTTGAGGTTGCACAAGCTGCTCACTGGTCACAACCGTTAGGTTTTTACCCATCAACCGCAGTACAGGATTGGAAGTGGACTTGTTCTGAGACTGAGGTGATGGGCTTGGAGAACCTAAATCAATGCAGGTTGGATACTTTGCAGCAGAATCCAGTGAATTGTTCATGGAAATGGACAGATCAGATGATTCCAATCCGGGGTTGGCTGGAAGAACAGTTCTCCAATTTGGATATGTACCAAAAGAGGAAGAGATACTTGGTCCGATGAACAGATTGGAGATCTGACTTGCCTTGGATTTCCTGGAAGTTCCATTTTGCCTCGATAATTGTGAATCTTTTGAGATGCTCTCCCAACATGAACAGCAGAAAGGCTGTCCAACCCCAGGTACTTTTGATGGAAGATCTTCCTTAAGCTCTTCATTCCTCCCACTAGACATTCTTTGTTCAGCTGCTCTGATGCTTCCAGCAGTTTGTGAGGCTAAGCACAATCTATCTTGAACAGCAATGGCTCTCAGTGAGGGTTCTTCCGCTGAGTCTTTAAGTCTGGAGTCTTCTGAAGATGTTAGGGATATGGTTGATCCAGTAGAAAGTGGTGATCCAGATGGTCCACTGTCACCAGACAAATCATGATCTGCTGTCACTACGAATGAGGTTACTGATGGGCTTTTACGAGGTACTTCAAGCTCCACATCCCGGTGAGTACTTAAACAACCACTAGAATCTTGAACGGACGTGATTTCAGCCTGACAATCTGTAGGTTGAACCGCACAAGAGTCTTCCACACCTCTATCTGCAGCTTCAACTATTTGAATATCTTGGTGGTCAATTTCATTACAAGATACATCATCGCAAACGGTTTCTTGCTGATCAGATCTTTGTTTAAAGTGTTGTACTACATGGACTTCATTTCCAGAAATAGACTGTACATCATCTGCACATGGGCAAGAGTATGATTGGGTGCTGAAAGTTAGGCTATCTGCGTTCACAAAGTCATCAGCAACAACTTTTTCTGCAGCTTCAGAATCTGGAACTTCTATTTGCATATCTGAATCTTCAATTTGAGGATCATGGCATCCAGGTCTCAGTGCCAGCACATTCAATCTATTGTGTTTCTGCTCTTCCAACGTGTCTGGGGATTCCTGTTTCTCATATTCTGGGATATTGCTTTGGCTTGGAGACCCTTGGTTCATGACTTTTGATTCAGACCTTATGAACTTACTTGACAGACCAGACTGACGAGTGCATAATGTTCTGTTTTTCCTTGTAATATTAAGACCAAAACTTCTGGTAGGTCCATGCACTCCATTCATGGGTGGCAAATATGATGGTCCTCTCTTACCAGTTCTCAAAATGGATCTGTGCTTACGAAACTTGAGGAACATAGAGGGTCTCTGAATTGCTTCACCTCTCCTTCCTTCCAAATGGAAGTATGATCTCTTTACTAAAATGTTCTTCTTTGAAGTGACAGTAGCTTCATTCAACATGGAAGGGGAGCATTCCAGTGGTCTCATTGCCAAATTAGAAAACTTATTGTACTTAGTTTGCACGCTCGAGTCATCCTCCACTGACTTGGTTTTCAGAGATTGGCAATTATCAACTGACTTTGACAATTTGAGGAGAGCTTTGGTACCTTTTGAGGAATGTCTGGAACTGGAAGCAAGTGGTTCTGAAGACTTAACCTTCACATCATTCATGCGGTCGAAGTCATTATACAGACAATCAATTCTCTTCATTTTTGGGGAACCAGTATCGACTTCAGATGACCTAGAGAAATTATTCTGGTGACAATCTACAGCAGAAGAGTTGCATGGATCTGATTGGCTATTCTCTGCAAGTATGGTCCTATTTACAGAGACAGTCCTCTCCAAGCTGATATTCCTGCCTTTATTGATGAGACCTTTTTCAAGATCTGGCTGTATAGTGTGCACCCATTGCCTTGAAGTTGCAGCAGTGTTCTTGACTTGGTTTTCTGAGTATGATTTATATGTCTGAGTTTCACTATGCTGTTGATCGGCTGACCTATGATCTCCTTCAGGTGTGGCTATAAACTGGATATGACATTATTGGACTCATGTTATAAATTGTATCAGCAATTGTCGTGAAAATTAAAGTAAGAACACTACATTGGACGAGAAATTCAACTGGAATACAAGCATGGTACAAAAGCAAGTTTCAAAAAAAAAAGTATTTTACCATTCTTGAAATGACTTAATGGAAAAGAACTGAAAATTTGGGTACAAGATGCTGCTAAAGTTGGAAAACTAGAAAACACAAAACTTGAAACTTAATATAGTAGCTGCGTGGCTGGTGACAAACCATCAGTATACTGATTGAGAAAATTTCATCGATTATTTGAAATTTAAAACTGAAAAAACAGTTGGAGTTCCAAAATAACAGAAAGTAAACTACTAACAATTTTGATAAGATCAGCCAAAAAAATTTCAAAATCATGGATGTATCTTCATATTTTCAGTAGGTTCAGATTTGTTAGGGAAAAATTCAATTAATGCTATAAAGGAATCGATGTTCGATCAGCTTATATAAGAATCATGTACATTATGAGGGCAGGAAGTTTGGAGACCAATTAACTCAAAAGCCATGTAACATCTATTATTCAGCAAGTAAAAATGTAAGCATTCCCCCACAACCTTGTTCTCTAATGTGAAATAATTTCTTTCCTTTTGCTTCCTCTTTTTAATTTGTCAACTCCACAGTTATCATCCTTTCATTTGATAATTTCGCTAACCACCCTTTACATGTGAGCCCCATCTGAATTCTTTATTTTCTTTGAGCATTTCTCTCCAAGATTCTCAATCACTTCCGTCTACATCCTTGTCCTTTTTTTCCAGCGACTTCCATCTAGCTTCTGCCCCTTTCTTCTTTCCCCTTTTGTCCTTTTCAAATGTTGGGCTCATGCATTCAATTTTATCTGACCATACCACTCGCTGAATTAGATTACCAGGAATTCCACAGTTCATGTTTTGGGTTCTAATACATCTAAGCACTCTTAAACCATTTTATTTTTCCAGTAGAGAATTATTTCTTTTCTTTAGACTTTCTCTTTCTCATGCATGCTGGTGGTCAAACTAAATTTCTTTCACAGCATACAATTGACTGGCTTCCCATCTAAGCTCTTACATATGCCCTCAGTAACTGCTTTAGGTTTATAATATCAACTTTAATGATGATGAATGCTAGTCTGAGTACTCGAATATAGTCATATTTTTCTCTATAGAATCCTATACATACCTTGAATGACATTTTACTTTTCTGTGTCTTCACTTCCATACTCTTGGAGTATTTTGATTTGAAATTCTTTTTCTTCCCATTCAAAACACTTTTGAGTGCCTTCACGTCTCTTGCATGCTTCCTCAACTTAAGGTTGTTCTCCAATGGTGCATCATGAAACTTCGATAGAATCCTTACTTTCATGCCACTTGAATCAACATAAACTGCAGATTCATTCCCGTCATCTATAGATTCCATTGTTGACAACTTGGCTCTCTTGGTCCCATTACCAACATCAGTAGTTGGTGCAGCCAGCAAAGCGAGTTCCACTGCCCAGTTTGTACCATTCCTCCTATCAAGGTCTTCGAGAGTGCAACAGGGAGCTGTCGTGTAAATATCTACCATCAACCTCTTCTTCCTTTGTTTGACTTTAAATTTTGGGAGTTCACCCAAAATATTTTTTGTATTAGACTCCACGAAGAGACACTGATCCATGTGAGCATTCAAAGTGGTGTTGGAAGTAGAAGAAAATATCTTACAAACTGGGCAAACTTTTGAAGCCATAGGATCTGAAACTTTGATATAAGATGCTATGTTGTCCAGCTGGCTGGTCTTCGAAATGGCACCCAATTTAATTTTCAACCTGCACTTCTTTTCCAAAGGCTTGCATAACTTGTCAGAATTTTGGCTAGGTTCAGGAGCACATAATTCCGATGGTATTTCAGAAGCACTTCCACTTTCTGCCACCAGGACAGTATCTTCAGAAATCCTGTTAGTAGTTTCTTCAGTTGGATGATGAGTTCTCACCGTCAAGGTGTTTTTTGCATCAAGATGGATCAGTTCATCCAATTTTGTTCTTTCATTCACTGTAGTGTTCCCAACCTCAGATGATACTGCTGGGTCTGAAGAGTTTGGAATGATCTCCTTTAGTGGCAAGTGTAACTTTGATCTGACACTAGCAGGCTTCCTACCGAAGGGACTAACACATAAAGGCTCAAGCAAAACATCATCTGCTAAGATACTGTCAGGTTCTGAGCATGCAACTGGCTGAGGTTCTGCCGGCTTGCTTACGCACTGGGTTCTCACCAAATGAGGAGGTTCGAAAGGTGGCAATATAGGTTTGGAACCATGTTTCACGCAGAGTTGCAGGAACTGCTGCGGAAAGGGCCAACTTGACTCGATGCCCTTGTTCCTTGATGCAAGAACATAATCTCTGAAATAAAATCATGTGATCCGTCAAGTAGAATTGCAAACATAAATCTGCAACTTTGTATTCAAAGTAAGGCCAGATAAGCCAGCCGAATATGGAGGTTCAAATGTGCGACAAAAGTTCTACCATCATAGTCAAATTATACCACATGTTAGTTGCTAAAATTAGACAACTCCTAATCAAGGAACTATTTATCACAAAACGTTTCACATAGCTTAGATGCCGTGAAGTCTAAACAAAACCTACACAGACTGAGAAAAGTACAACCTTCCAATTAAATGATATCATTACTTAAGTCGCATAACAGACTATCACCATATGAGAAAAGAGCATAACAGTAGAAGTATTAAAAGGTGAGATGAAGCGCACGACAAAAAATCAACTTATAGGTGGTGGATCTTCAGTGCAAAACATTCTGTTTGAGGTGAAAACCCCTCAAATTATCAGTGGGTCAAAATGTACTAGAGTGAGATAGAGCTGCTTTAGGAACATAAGAAGATATATGAACAAATTAGATGTCCATCATTAGCTGCTTGAGATGGGAAAGTATCTTCAGGAGAACCAAAGAAATGAAGAAAATATACCATTTCCAGGGATACCCAACCACATTCTCAGCAAGCAAACAATAAGATACTAAGGAAAAAGGAGAGCAGCTACCTAATAGAGAAATTGGAGGTTGGATTATCTTGGAGGACTACTGTTTTTGCCTCCTGGCTGTCAAGCTTTTCAGAAGCCCCCTCATGAGAGTTCAGTGCTGAAAGATTGGAGGAACATGAAGGATCTGAAGGGTTATCAATCGATAACATCTGAGGAAGGCCTTGTCAGTTATCCCTAGATCTTCCAACAGTACAAGCCCAAGCGTTGTGCTGCTACTGGGCTTTCTCTTATGCTTAGCCTCCAGCATAACAAAGGATATTAACTCCCAAGCAACCCCTCAAAAGAAACAAATAGAACACCAAGTCCCCACAGAAGAAGAGCTAACCTTCTTCCTCTCCTCACCTGATTTGATGCCTGCAACATGATACGAAAAAGAAAATCAAACTAACAATCAATTAAAAGAAAGGGAACTTGATCATGCTTCCAGAGCATTATTTCATGTAGACCTAACAATGATTTTACTGAGGTCTCTTCTCGGGAGATGAAGCAACTCAGTCCCAACTAGAGATAGAGGAGATCAAGCATCGGATGTTAGGAACTTCAAGTCCTCTTATCATTTTATGTGAAGAAAAGCATGCTCGAAGAGGCTGTTGTTTGAAGAGATCAGAAGAGAACAAAAGGGTACAGAAGTTAGATTAGACCTTTTTTTTTTTTCCCTCTACAAATCTAGCACATGAAATGATGAGAAGAAGCAAGAAGAAGAGAACGATCCACTGAGGAGGCGAAAATATAGACAAAGGAGTGATGAACCTCCCTCTTCCAAAGAAGCTCATGGAGAAAATAGAAAGAAGAAGAGAAAAGATGTCATGATATGACAAACATAGCTTGAGAGAACCAAGCCGAGGATGAAACATATGGAGAAAAGGGGGTGCTTACGCAAGCGCTCATCACAAACACTTGGCCGAAATCAAATCTTGAGAAAAAGAAGCTGTTTCCACATTCTTTTAGTGGTTGATTGGGACTCCAAGAAATCCCAATATCACAGCCGAAAGGATAAGAATAATTAATAAAAGCGAGTAGAGGGAAATCAATCAGAGTTGGAATCACCACCGTAAAATCTTTAGAAATCCTTCGACCATTTGTGTTATTCTTGAAGACCCCAATAGGAATAGGAAACAAGAAGAGGAAAAGAACTGTGTGCAAGACAGAAGAAAAGAGAGCTCAAAACCAAGATTGAGAATAACTACACAAAATCGCATGAAAACCCACGGCCTCAAAGCTTACCTCCTCACGGATGCAAAAGGAAGCACAGAAGTCAACCTCGTTTCGGACCGGGAAAGGAGAAAGAGGGCAGTAAAACAAATATCGGAGAGGAAGAGAAGATGAGGATAACGGATGAGGCGAAAGAAGGCAGCTTTTCCTTCTCCTTCTTCTCTCTCGACACAGTTTGCAGACGAGAGGAAATAAAAGATAAGATTACACCGCCCACTCACCCATCCAAGGCATCAGGTTCTCCACCAAAAGCAGGCCTGCACCAGCAACTCCAGAGAGAGATGGATAGAGAGAGAGAGAGAGAGAGAGAGAGAGAGAGGAGGGGAGGGAGAAGAGGGGCAAAGAAAATGGAGTTTTCAGGGAGCTGTCCTATCCCACACCGACTCTTGCAAGCTTTGCTATCTTCACCCTTCTTTTTCTCATCGTCCTAAGTGAACTAAGGAGGTGATCACTTTGACCCTGCCTTTGCAGTAAAACTACAAGATGCACCCTTTCTTCTCTCTCCTCCTCGGTCTACTACCACCCTGTGTAACTTTGGGCGTCTCGGGTCTCATCCATAAGCTTCTCCTCTTCTTCCAAGTACTTCACGCCTAAGATATAAGAAATTGCCATTACAAAGTGAGCTAATGTTGAATACCCCGAGAACAACAACTTAGTGTCTAAGTTACCTCTCTCTCTCTCTCTCTCTCTCTCTCTCTCTCTCTCTCTCTCTC